TTCTGAAATAAAATAATTCCAATTTAAAGTCATCTGAAGTTGAAAAGATTTTGAAGTTCAGTTTTCTATCTCAGGAAGAAACAGAACTTTAAATTGCTAGCAACAGCACAACATAAACTTTTGTAATAGAAATTATCTAGTTCATAAACTCCTTATTTAGTTTAACACCTGCTTGAATCTTACAGTTGTTACTTTAGAATTACTGAGCAAAAAGTTCTTCTCAGCACCAATACTACATATTCTAGCTAAATATTTACCAAATATATTAATGTTGCACAAACTCTCCCCCAGTAAAAACCCGAGAGAGTATAAGGAGGTGACAGAATCCTCCAAGAACTGGGCTGCCATGTCATGGCTCGCAGATTATTGTAAAGAATATTAAAATAACGTGGCAAGTCTCATAATCTGGGAAAAGAGATTGGATTAGTCTGAATGATGAAGCTACTTCCAGAAGAAACACAAGCTAGGTTCCCTGTTGTGATCACTACATCCTCCTTTTCATTATCAGTTCTGTTATGCAAAACACCAGCAAGCAAAAACTTCCACTCTCTGCTGAAAATGGAACTGCAGACATCTCACTAGCAGGAGGCATCGTGCAGCCGCTCTGGCTTTGCTTACCATCTGTCGAGCATCCGCTGGTGCCATCGCTGGAACAGTAACGCATTTCAATCCTTTGCCTTCCCACCTCCAGCAAATTTGGGTCAGGCAAGCGCGCTTTGCAGGTGTATCGGAAACGTTGTTCATAGTGGCCACCGTTGTCTGAAATATTGACTGGGGTCCAAGGTGTCCAGGGAGTTGTCTTTTTTAACTCTGGGCAGGCATTGGTGTTACAAGGCTGATATTCCTGAAAGAAAATGGTCATAATTAATATAATGATTAAATATGACTTTAATTTAAAAAAACAAAACAATAACCACACACCCTCAAAACAGACAAAAAGCCAACCAATAAAAAAATCCTCTGATATTTTTTCCAGCATTTCCAATAGCAGTAATCATCAATAAACTTTTCATTCCAATCTCAAACTGAACGTGTTTTTTTCCGCTTCCAGGCAAGCACAGTATCACACTGCTAAAAGCAATAATATGCTGGTTCAAATTAGATCTATTACACCTGTAAAACCAGTAAGCTGAACACTGTAAGTACCATGATAAAGCGCATCCTTTATAAATTAATAGCCCCAATTAAGGTGTAGCTAAATATGTTAAAGCTTTTAATTAAGAGGAATTCTGATAAACTGCAAGTAGAAGACACAAACCAGCGAATAATTCCTTGGTGAATCTAATAGCATATGAATAAGCAAACCACTGTCCATTTTGTATATTGTTTATGTATTACAAGAGGACAACGGACAAAAAATGTTTTCTATTACAGAATCTGGCTCCCTGAGGTGCATAGCTCCAGCATTGCTAAACCTGTCATCAGAAGCAAATTTCCTGTGGACTGATATGAACCAAAGGGAACAGACCACACCCAAGAAACAAATGCAGAATTGCCAATATTCTCAAGCCCCACAATATATGTCTTCTAAGGAGCATCATCAAGATCTGTAGGCTCCTGCCCATTCATTTCCCGGAGCACAATACGCTTCATCTGATGCAAGTGCTTTGTAAAATATATGGATGAAATTAAGCAACCATTAAATACCAGAATACTGCCAAATTATTAAAGTAAAAAAGAAATAGGCATCAGTGGGACAGTTTTTAACTCTACCTCCGACCTTTTCGAGAGATACTCAATGGAGGGTACCTTCTGAATAGGAGCCTACTAATTTAGTAATCCACTAAATACTAAAAAACATGGACACAATAGAAACAATGGTTTTATCACATACTACAGTCTCCCTCTTCTGTAACCCCTACCTCAGCTGATATCACCATGTTCCAACAAGCAATAGATTACCTGCTCCTCTCTTTCCCAGGGAGCTAACAGACTTTTTATCTCATACTTTCTTCAGTTCACTACCTGTCCTCTCAGATGGTCTAACTTATTAACATATCCAATTAGGCTGAAAGCAATTGCTCTCAACCTGCATTTTGGCTTAAAGGCAGTGTTGCTATTTCAGATCTAAAAGAAATTTGCTTGTCTGAAAGCTTTTCTAATTTTTCCATCTGTTAGAATTGGAAAAAAAATTATTCCTCAGAAACCCCTGCCCCGCTAACACAGCAAGGCACCGGAGAACCCAGCACTGTGTTCAAGACTCTCATGTTCTGAGGCCACGTGGATTTGTGAAAAACTTCCTGGTTTCATAGTTTTGTGGTACTTCAGGCAAAGGCAAGCTCTTAGCCCAAAGGCTTTAGATGGACTCCTGTTCACTCCTCAAGGCTGTGCAAAGTCCCTTCCCACCTTAAAGCCCGGTGATCACTACAATGGTGACCACGTGGGTCATACTCAGGGATCATCTATGAAAGAGGACCCCTTTAGAGCACAGAGGAGTGGATCAGCCTTTCCAGGATCTGAGTTTCAACCTTGACTGGTTTCTGCATCAGAAGACAAAGAACAAGCAAACTATCTGGTCCCGTGTACAGCAGAGGAAGAGATTTCTTCATGACTCCTCTAGGCAACTGTTTAAATCGTGTATGTGTTAGACTGAGGACAGAATATGTACGACTGTTCTCCTCGCAGCACATGAACTGTAAAAAAGAAATAATAAAATTAACAGATCCCAGGAACATCCAGAACCACCCTGCTTGCTATCCCAACTAGTCAGTCACCTCCAGTGGCTGGATTACAGTGCATCTTTTAGCACAAGCACTCTGTGCTTCCCTCTTTTTTTTTAAAGTTGTCTAGCTCTGATGAGTCTATCACCCCCCCACATCAGCTGTTCCGCTATTTAGTAATCCTCAAACCTAACAAACTGAAGTTAATTCGAGGCTGCATTTTCCCCTTAATTTAATTTTCCAGTCACTGAATTTTACTGTGCCTTTATCAACGATGCTGAAAGTGTTCCTTGTCCCACACCTGCAAACATATTTTGCATGCCCAAGTACCCATACATAACGATAAACTAAGCTGAACTTCTAAAAGCTACATAGGATTTAAAAACTGAACTCCTGGTCCTCTGCATCCCTATGTCTTCCTTTTGCCCTATTTCCTTGTTTTCCTTAAGGCTAGACACCAAAATTTGACTTGGCACTCGAGAAGCAGCCTTATCAATACAGCATGCAGAGGCAATCATGACACCGTTCCACTTGACAATCTGACTTTAATACATACTTTATTGCATTAGTGCTTTTTCCTTCCACGACACTGTACAAAGAGCTTAAGTAGACCCTTATCTTTGATAACCTGAGCTTCTCTAAATCACAGCTTTACAACTACATATAGTTTCCTATCCCACACAAGAGGCTGGTGTTTGGCAATATTAAAATACATTTTATTAGCATCTGCAATTATCTAGCATATTATTTACTACCTCAACAACCTCTGTCATGATCAAGCTTTACTGAAGATGTCTTATATCACTGTCTAGACTGTTGATAAAAATGGTGCTATTGACTGATTCCAGGCAGACCCTGCTAGACACATCCCAGTCACTTATATCTGTCCATTAGCACCACATTTTTCAATTTGTCAGTGAGCCAGCTTTTAATCCATTTAACATTTGCCATATATTTCAGTTTTCCAAATCAAAGTATTTTCTGTTGCAAAGGTAAATGTCTTGGAAAAATTCAGTGACAGTCTAGGAGAAGTGCTGTATAACTTTCAAACATCCTGAAACACAAGCTCTTTTCTAGTAGCATATAAGCAGGACTAATTCAATTAGTACAGTAGCTACTACAATGTTCGTTTCAGTAGAGTCACAATGGTCTAAAAGTTTCACTTCCTCATTTGCTCTTGATTTTTATATTGATATTTTTCAATCAAAAATAAAAGCTGCTAGAAATGTGAGGTCTTTCTTTACTGGATATGGTGTAGACAGGTGAGGGTCATGAAAAGCAGAATGTGTGAGACAGATATGTAATGAACCCTTTTTAAAATAAAAATGGGCAATACAGGAAGAAGTTAATCTAGTGGCAATATATTGAATGTTGCTTTGCTGACACACGTCTGAGGTGAACACGTCAGCTCACTTGTTTCTGGAAAGACAGACTACCAGCCATCAGTGTGCTTCAGGATGTGTAGTCTCTTTGTACACCCTAATAGAGGGTATACTCATACGTTGTTACATGAGCCAGAAAAGAAAGATGTTCCTTAAGAGTGTGTGTAGAGACCATTTGTTAGCTTTCCCTTTCTTCTTGCTTGGTGCATAGCTTCTTATACGAAAGTTTGTCTGCTGTCATGCCTGTTTATTTAACCACTGGATAATACCCATGAAAGGCTCAGAATGGCAGGGGAAACAAAAGTACACATAGTTTACGTTACATTAGCAGTAAATAATCTCTCTCTCAGAAAATTCAGAGGAATGTCCCAACAATGGATGATTCCATAAAGTTCTGGCACTAATAATGACCTGGCAGATCCTGCTGGTTTCTCTCACAGACAGTGAGTGTTGCACTGTTCTACCAGCTACCATGTCTGCCACAGAGGAATCGAAAATCACACGGTGCGTGCTGAAAGCATTGATGTGATCTGATGCTACAAAACTCCAGGATAAGCAGAACAATGATCGTGCTCTGCATGGTGTCAGATTTGGAAGTAAGTAAAGGGGGGGGAGAGAAAAGGCACAATCCAGATCACACATGGGTACATTTAGTGCGGCTAGCATGACGACACAGTCTGGCTTGAAGGATTTGTCAGGGACTGGGAATATGGAAACTGCTGAAGGTCCCTTCCAACCCAAAGATTCTATGATTCTATGATCTCTGCTTCGATTATCCTCCTCTTCTCACCCTGTCCAATGCTTGAACAACTTACTCAAGTGGGATTTCAGGAATATGGCCCTCTCCAAAGCAATTCGATCAGCTAGAGTCATGGATACAATAATAAAACAACCATATAGCGAAATAAAGGTCTCAGATGAAGCACTGAGGTCTCAACTCAGCAAAACAGTGGTAAGAAAGAACTAGAAAAGCAGTGAAGCATTCTGCTTCAATAAGGCTGTTGAGAGGAACCGAGACAGCGGCTGCCAAACTCCACCTCATATGCTCCACGTGGACTGAAGGAAGACATGGAGTCAAGATACCCACAGAGGAAACTTCATGGGCTTATATCATTGTACATTATTTCTTAAGGTATACTTAAGGATTCAGAACAATAATTATTTCAGGCCATTTGCAGACTCCCAAAATATCACTGCAATAGTTCACACTTAGCCACTTTTTCAAAGTTCTCTTTGCAAATTGTCCTAAAACCTGGGGCCTCATTCACCATATTGTGGCTTTCAGCTTAAAGTGGATTCAGTCAGTTGACATTGTTAAATTTATGCCTGGCTATGCCTGGCAAAGATGCAATAAGATCTTTAACAACTAAATTTCAGGGGACAGCTTAACGGTTAGTTGGGAATTTTACAAAAAATACACAAATAAATACATACATCACAAAATACATATCTATGAAAATGATAAATTAAAATAAAAAATTACCATGAAGCATACTGGTGGTAATATGAGAAAAGACATCACAAATTAAAAACATAATGGAATGATAAAACACAAGCATTGATTATGCTATTAAGCAGCTACCTTGCTTCTGCCTTTAAGTAATATTTGTGTGTAATGAAAAAAGGATATTAACATCATGTTTTGTACCAAGATTTATTTAGAATTATTTGGTTGTATTGTTTTAGAAAAGTACAACTGAATTGTTATTTCCAAAACATCTTTTTTTCAAACTGAAGGAGACTTGTGCTAAATAACATAGAAAGAAATCCTACTATTTTCTCACAGAGGACATGGAACAGAC